AACAGGCTTAGAAGTACGTAGGCTCTAACTTAAATCCTTCAAGCGCTGCCAGTTCGGTCTGCCTGCCGTGCTGTACCGAGCCGACCTGGCAGCACAGTTGTAGTGATTAACATAAGTAGACGTCTTGGAAGAGATTATTCAGAAGCTTTTTGCCAAGTTTCTTGCGTAGTTTGAGGAATCTCTAGAGGGCTGTGGCACACAGTGTTTAGGTATTGCTTCCCCCATACACTGAAATTCTTAGGAAAGTAGTCGGCAGGCATTGTTTCTGGCTTAGGCATGGAAGCACAGAAGACAGGTGACTTGGGAGCGATGGCCAGAAATGGATGAGTTTTCTCCGCATTTTCATTAATGGTGTTGCCTTTTTCAGACTAACTTCTAATCAGATCGCCGTTTTGGTTTTTTCCCCTCTTAACTGGCAACTTCTTGATGTTTGGAAAAACAGCGTTTGCTTTTCTCAAGGCCTTTCGTTTAAAACCTTTTCCACTTCCCTTTCTCTCCTAATGATCTACTTTGTCCGAAAAGCAACCTGCTTCAGATTCTTGAGGAACGCTTTCGGTAGAGGATCCCGACTACATCCTCAGAGAAGCTTATTGACCAGCAGCTCGGTGATGCATCATCCACAACAGAAAACTTGATTTGGGGGAAGAAATGAAAAACCTGACCGCACGTTCTTCTTGCCAACCTCTCTTTTGAGTTGCCTGCTCTGCTCTTGCTGCTGGGTTCGAGGTGCCTCGGCTTTTGGGAAGCGTCTAGCCTTCTGACCCAGGAATTGCGTACAGCAGACTGCTCGTTTGATGAGGAGTCCGTGCGCTTACTCCCTATTTAACTTGGCGGTTTTGCAAGGTGCTTGACTTGGTGGATAACTGATCTGTATGTGGCTACTTCACAGAAAACCCCTCTCTACCGGTTGCTTATCTTTCGATTGTGCCAAACTTTGATCAAACAGTGAAAGATTGCTTCCGCCTGTTGTTGTTCTTGCCCGTATTACAGTCTGAAAGAATTCAGCTGTTAAGACTAGGGTTTCTTGCAGATGTTTTGCAAGTCTCTACCTACAGCGGATGGTACCTACAGTGTAGTATTTAGATGGTCGAAACCATTCGGAATAGAACAACAAAATAATGTCAGATGAGTTTATCAGAACCAAGAAATCACAGGCTCTGCGTCCGACAAAATCTGAACGTTGTGTGAGGCAGTAAAAATACTGAAAGCGGTATTCGTCTTACCCACCAGGCAGATGAGATGCGATCCGCACTGTTAAAGGGCAAAATGAGAGCCTCTCTATTCTTAGTTTTTAATATGCCTTTAACTTAATTTTTACGCTTTTATTTCTTATGACAAGGCATAAAAGGCAGCGCATAATGGATTGGAAACCCTTCAGCAGTAGCACATTGAATCTTTGACAGGCTTTTGCATTTATGTGTCTCTTTTTTTTTTTTTCTGAGATTCAAAAAAGAGCTACAGCTACTTGACAGACGTGATGATCCCCATACGCACTGTAGGCAGGGATGTCAAGAATGCCAGAATCGCGTCTCCTCTTCGGCTCTGAATGTCTCCAACTCCGTGAGTTCAACGAGTTTTTCTTTCTTTTTTTCAGTTAGCAATCTCTTGCTTGCCATCCTGTTCCCGTGTCTGCTCTGCTTGGTTCTTTCGATGAAGTAATTACCCCAGTGTTTCTCACCCTCGATTGCACGCTCCTCAAAAAAACCATTGTGCTGGAGGACTTTTATAATTTCGCTTCATGTACTGGAGAGCTGGGATTAGCGCCGGAAGGTTTAGACGGCTTTAGCCGCGTTATTGTTCGTTTTGAGAGCGAGGGCGTTTAAAGTTAACACAGTAGAGATGTAGGAGAGGAAACCTTTTTGCTGGAATGGTTTAAAAATACTTAATTCTAACAGGAATCCCTTGGAAGGAGCTGTAACCGCTAAGCGCTGCTGGTTAGAAACGGTTGTTCCTTAACGGGCTTGATGAGAATGATGCGCCTGGGGACCTGGAACCCCTGGCTGCGATATAAATCATTTCGTTAACGACCCTGGCGTACCGAAGACCTGGGAAGCGCTCTGGCTGCTTTACGGAGTACAGTACAACGGAGACGACGGTCTTACCCGGTCACGCAAACAGGTCTGTAGCAGCAGTAGTCATTGAACCTGTGTCCAACTCCTGTGCCTTACCTTTGAGACCATCTGAACTTCTTGTGACACTTCGAAAGACGACAGCGTCCTCTCTGCGTAGCTCAGGAACGACTGCCTCAATTCTTTTACTAGGAACCATTCAAAAATTCCTATGCCAGTGTAAATAGGCGGGGTGGGGTTCTGCCTCTGAACCCTTCAAATGTTGTTTACGTCTTGATGGTGGTCTTTATTGAGATATCTTTAATCTCTTCTTCGAAGAGTAAGCGCTTTAGAAAGGACTGTCTCCTCGATTTGCATTTTTACTCTGCTACGCGGGGTGATTGGGATCGCTGGTCACTTCTTTAATGCAACCAGTTAAAGACAGCCAGATGGGTCTTCCTCTAAGTGGGATTCAGACTTCATTTAAGAAATCCTCTTTCCTTCCCCGCTTCTTCTGTCAGGCCCCATGCCACTTAGCATCTGCTCTATAAAACTACAAGATGCTTAGTTGTCGGGTGTTGTTCAGGACGCAATTTTTGAGAGGTTGCTTTCTTTTTGGTTTTTTAAAGTATAACGTGAACGTGAAAAGCGATGGTCCTGCTGATAACAGGAGTGTTTCCATGACTGGTAGCAGGTTTTTTGAGGACCGCGGTGCTGTTCTTGGGACTGGGATTTCCAAGTTGCCCGTCGTAGGCACGTGTGTTATTCACGAGGACTGAGCTGGTGGCTTCTACCCCTGCACTTTGGTCCTGGACAGGGAGAGGAAACCAGTGGAAAGCGCTTCTCCACCAGTCATGTAGGAGCTGGATGCTGAACATATCCTTTCGTTGAGTCGTCCACCTCCAAAACTCTCTTAGCGTCTTTCTCAAAATGATCTGGGAGGTGCGGCCGGGCCGAGTCAAAGCTGCCGCACACGATGCTGCCGAGGTCCCCCGAAACTTGACTTGACTTTCCAGCGCTGTCAGAGTTCCACTTGGTGAGATGTTGGCGGAAAGCAGAACTCCTGGCGACAAATTCTCCAGAAGTTTTGGCACTGTTGGCTGCTGTTGTGCCTTGCGAGTGATCCGTCGCTCCTAAATTTACAGGACTTCATTCTTTCAAGCTCACCAAAATCACCTAGCGCTTTCTTGCTCCGGTACCTTTTTCTGTGGCTTTTTGGTGAAGTTCGGTAGCACTACTAAGTTGTGATTCAGCTGGTTTGAGAGCTGCGAAGCACCCATAACCCAAAACTCGCCGTGAGAGGGTTTTTTGAGCATGAAAGCCTAGTTACGCGGTTCTTCTTTTAGCCATTGCCTTTTGATAAGCGGTCAAACAGAATTCCCAGTAGTTCCTTTGTAGCTTACTGTATGTTTTTCATTAGACCTAGTTTGTGGATAATATACTGTAGTTAACTTTCCTGAAATTCTGTAACAGAGTATGTTTTTGATTAAAAAAGGTAAAGATTCAAGTCTTTTGGC